CTGGAACTACAGGCATGCACCACCATGCCTGGCTAATTTTTTGATTTATTGTAGAGATAAGGTCTCGCTATGTCGCCTATGCTGGTCTCGAACCGGTGGGCTCAGGCAATCTTCTCACCTCAGCCTCCCAAAGTGCTGGAATTACAGGCATGAGCCACCATGCCTGACTGACCAGTGTTTGTTTTAATAGCCTTCCCCTCCCCTCCTTCTCAAAACCTTTAAGTAAAATGGACACATTAGGAAAAAACAAAACAAAAGATGAGTGAACATTTAACATGCTTACATATATTAAATTATCCTTCTATGAGATGTTTAATATCCTAAAATTTAGAATTGTCACTACAATATCATAATTTATACTAACTATACAAACCCCTCGTTAGTATTTTTGTTATCTGATTAACATTTTGTAAAATTTTAAGTGTACGTACAAATGCAAAATTCAGTAAATTATGGTGTAAATCTATGATTATTTTAAAATTTAAAATTTAAACAGCATACATACTCTCAAAGGCCCCTTGACTTGGTCATCTTGCACCAATTGTGTAGTATTATCCTGTTTCAGGAGTACCTGGAAAACATTTTCGAACAATAATTTGCATGTTACTTTTAAAACAAATACATTTATAGTAACACTGTAACAATAATGTCTTTAATTTATGTCTTCTTAGCACCCTTTGACTACCTCTGGTATAATATTTATTACATTGTCCTATATTTATTTTTATTGTCTCTCTCATTAGTTGCAAGCTCCTTGAGGGCTGAGCCCTCCTTCATTACTCTATTCCCAATGGTTAGCAAGTGTCAATGCACATTGCTGGCACTTAATAACTGTTTACTGAATATATAAACTATAGAAGACTTATAATTTGTAGTGTTTACTGTAAAAACTTAAAACTGCCTTTATTGCTTTTTATCCACAAGTCATAAAAGATTCTGACTGTCTGCTGGGTGCAGTGGCTCATACCAGTATTCCCAGTACTTTTGGAGGCAGAGGTGTGAGAGAATTACCTGAACTCATGGGTTCAAGACTAGCCTGAACAACATGGTGAGACCTCGTCTCTGCAATAAATAAAAAAATTAGCCAGTTGTGGTGGCACATGCCTATGGTTACAGCTACTTGTAAGCCTGAGGCGGAATGATCACCTGAGCCCACCAGGTTGAGGCTGTGGTGGTCCTAACCGTGCCACTGCACTCCAGCCTGGGCGACAGAGCAAGACTCCAACTCAGAAAAAATAAAAAAAATTCTGATTGTCACTAAGTATTCAAAGAAAAATCAGTATCAACTAAATTGCCAATATGGTACATAAACAACATGTTCTCACTATAAGCAGACCTTGAATAATTATCATAATATTATAAGAAAAGGATTGGCAGTAGTGGGAATCTGCAGGGGGTGCACACTTCATCAACAAGGGTACTTGCATAATGAACATTTATACACCTAACCCTGAACTGTACCCCACATCTTTAAAATAAAAAAAATTAGGGCAACCCCCCGGGTCCCCTCCCACTGTGGGAGTTTTTCTGTCCTCTCAATAAATCCTGCTTTATCCAAAAAAAAGAAAAAAAGAAACATAAACAATTTGAAACCAGAACTTTTTTGATCCTTGAAAAAGTAAATCTGAACAATAATCATGATATACAATTCAGTCACAAACAAGTGTTCCTTTCTACTATACATCCTCCCAAATATACATGATAACCATCCATGATAGAATCATTACCCAAATAAATTTAAAATCTAGGTAATCATGAATAATTAGACCTTCCAAAACAATCATTGCATTGGTTTTAAATAAATGAGAGTCACAATAGTAATAAAATGTTAAAAATTGTCAAAGAATCCCACACAAATATTGAGTAATCAAATCCTGTATAGCTGTCATGGTAAAAAGGCTATATGAAACAAAGAAATGAATGTCAAACGATATCATGTCCTAATAATAATTGAAGAAGAGTTGCATCGGCAGACCTGAATTTAAACAGAAATTTTATAATTACCATAGATACATCTATTTATCACACAAATCACACTCCTCTAGTTCAATGGTTCTCAAACTTTAAGATGCATCAAAAACATTTGGAGGGCTTGTTAAAAATAGTTACTGGATCTTACCCCTAGAGTTTCTTATTCACCACATCTGGGTAGGGGCCTGAGGATTTGCATTTTGAACAATTTCCCAGGTAAGGCTGATGCTGCTTGCCACACTTTTTAAGAATCACAGCTCGTGAGTGGATTGCCTAAGCCCGCGGGTTAGAGACCCACCTGGGCAACTTGGCGAGACCTCATCTCTACAATAAATCAAAAATTAGCTGGGCGTGTTAGCGCACGCCTGTAGTTCCAGCTACTTGGAAGGCTGAGGCGGAAGGATTGCCTGAGCCCAGCAGGTCGAGGCTGCGGTGGCCGGGAGCCGCCACTGCACTCCAAGTCCAAGGCGACAGAGTGAGATTCCAACTCAAAAAAAAAAAAAGAATCACAGTTCTAGTTCATTAATTCATTCAAGAAATTTTGAGCGTCCACTATGTATCGGGCACTACTCTAGCTGCTGGGCACAGAGCAAGTCAGATGTTTCTTGCTTTCATGGTGCTTTATTTTGGTAGGAAAACATCATATATATAAGTAAATAAAGCAAATTTCAAACTGCAAATATAGTATGAGCTAATAATACCAAGAATGATAATAATGTTATGACAGGAATAGTAAGAAATTGGAAGACCACATCAAATCTCTCTGGAGTGAATTCAAGGAAGACTTCCATAGTGTTCTGTATCATTGTAGGATGACTACAGTTAACAATACTATATCATATAATTTCAAATAACTAGGAAAAGGAGATTGATTATTCTCAACACAAAAAATGATAAACGTTTGAGATGATGTCTATGCTAATTATCCTGATCTGATCACCATATATTATAAGTAGCAAAACATCACTATCTGCCCCATGAATATATACAATGATTATTTGTCAATTTTAACGAAAATTTTAAAAGAGGACTTTCATGAACTATATTATATGTCTTTAATGCTAAAAATGTTTAAAATAAACATGTATTACTTGTGTATCTAAGCACAAAGTTACAAAGACAATTACAAATATAACTACATAGGAAAATTACTAAAAAGAAACAAAAAAAATATTAATAGTTCTTTCCAACAGGTGAGCCATAGATATTAGACCATTTGTACTTTTCTATATTTCCAAATACTACACAGGAATGTGCTTCTTCTGGTTATAAAAGCATCTTCAAAATAACTTAATCATTTTTTATACTGTCCTGAAAACATAGTTCCTGCTGTATTGTCCTAATCATTAAACTGTTCTACCTTAACATTATGAAAGGGGAGAAAACAGATAACAGTCCAAATATGATACCACAAATAGGAAAAGATTTAAATGACAGGAAAAATCATGAGCATGGTATTTTGGTAGAAACATTTTGGAATATTTCTCCTTAAGTTCTTTCTCAATTCTTAATGTGCTTTTCCTGTAAGTTCAGTATATAAGACTGCTTTCACACAGTAATGACTCAATAAATAATACGCTATTTTGCAGCATGCCCCTCTCCAACTCTCTTTAATTCAGGTTTAATAAAACTGTTGCATAAAAACAAATATTACCTTAACTTTCACCAGCCTTTTGACAGTCTTAATCTTTGCCTCACAGAAGGCACCTCGGTACTTGGCACTGACATCAGTTCCCACTGTCAGGTAGGCAGGCTCGTCCGCCGCCTGATGAAAGGAATATAAACTGTGAATGTCATTACTATGTCTCCCTACTCCAATCTTAAGTCTCATTAAAAGGTTCTGTATTTAAAGTAACAAAAATATTAAAATTATTTGCTTACTAATATCATTGAAAATTTGAAGATATCCCTAAAGCAAATACTTTATTAGCAAAGTTGCACTGTATATACCGATATCATAAAATGTCTTAAAGTTGTCATTCAAAATTATCAGTAAGAAAATGTTTTTTCTCTAGATACAAATCGCTTCAAAAATTCTACAGTGTATATACAAAGTGGAAAAATAAGAAAAAACAGGAAGAGTATTTCATAGTAAACGTCTCAGAAAACCAAGTTATTCATTTATGATCTGCAAATTGTTTTCAAACTAAAAGAAATATTATTAAAATTAACACTAGCAATACATACATAAACGTTTATTAACACAACTACATAAAGTCAACATCTTTTTAGATACAATGTAACTACATAGATAAGAAATGAAGCAAATCCTTTTTGGATGAAGAGAATATCATTTGGAAAATTCATTAGTAAAAGCTGCATTTGAAAGGCTTACGTCTGAATTCGATGAATGTAGATGTGAACTGATGGTTCAAGACTTGTAGGCTTATCTAGTTGACCATATTCATTTTCTTAGTATAAAAAATACGCTTTAAGAAAATGGACATGATCAGAATGATACACTGAAAGATGTGAGAAATTTCATTTTACCATTCATAGATGATTTCTTTTTTTCTTTTTTGAGTTGGAGTCTCACTCTGCTGCCCAGACTGGAGTGCAGTGGCTGCTCCCGGCCACCGCAGCCTGGACCTGCTGGGATCCGGCGATCCTTCCACCTCAGCCTTCCAAGTAGCTGGAATTACAGGCATGCGCTACTATGCCCAGCTGATTTTTTGATTTATTGTAGAGATGAGGTCTCGCTGCCCAGGCGGGTCTAGAACCCGCGGGCTCAGGCAATCCACTCACCTCAGCCTCCCAGAGGCACAGGATCACAGGCTGAGCCACCGAGCCCGGCTCATAGATGATTTCTATCTCCATCTATCTTTTTACCAATTTTTCAAAAATTAGTGTATACATACAAGTTAAGGTCAACATGGTTAAGTAAAAGTGTATAAACTTCAGAGATATATCTTTAAGTAGAAAATTATTTTTCATTTTCCAATAAGTTTTCCTAAGTAATAGTAAAGAAAGTTAAATATGTCACTCCAAGATAATAGGAAACCAAGAGAAAGTTTGGGAAAATGCTATATTTCAGAGCTTAAAGTACTGAAACAGTACATAAGACAAGAATCTGGTACCTTTTAAAGTCAGTGCATTCACAAACAACGAAAATTGAAGAGGAAGACTTTTGGCAAATAAAAACCCGACCCGAAACATTCAATGGCCAAGGCACTCCAGAAAGCTATGAAACTTTCCTTTCCCTTTAAACATCCACATGCTGATGTTTGCAATTGTATTCAGAAGGACATATATATTTTTGGGATGGGTATATGTCTTAAAACATTTACCATAAATATTTAACTCAAACTGAGCATTATTTGTTTTAGTTCAACTTCAAATATTTTAGCCACAGAAGTTAACTTTGTCCCAAGAAGAAATGATACCTTCCTTACTCAATTCACTTATTCTTTCTCTTAGAAAACTGCACTGGCACTGGGGAAGAAAAAATTTTTCAAAAAAAAATCCCCCAAGAACCAAAGCAGGACAAAAGCTTTACTTCTGCAAAGGCTGCTGCCAACACAGGAAGTGTTTAAAAATACTATCCAAATGGACAACAATTGAAAGGCTGCACCAGCCTTTCCAAAGTGCTAACTGCTACAGAGAGGGGCCGAACTGACCGCATTTAGACACGCAGATCATTTCGCACCCATTCAACACGTCCTCATTTTCTGAAAGTGCTGCTTAGTAGAGAAATCAATTTTGAGTAGCAAAAAAAAAAGACATTCCACGGCACCAACCTCACGACTGGCAGCGCCCAGGGCACGAGGATCAGAGCAGCGTGGACTTCACTTACCTTCATTTTTATTGGTGATCTGTGGGGATCCAGCTCAACGAGTTATCTTTGCTGTTACTGGAACCACGAGAGGGGAAAGACAGGCACAGGATCAGTCAACAGCGGGGAGCGACCGAACGAAAGAAAGTAAACAAACGCCAGCGAGGAAGAGCAGAATCCTCCCCAGCCAAGGGACAAGACCCCTTCGGAGGGCAGCTAGGACGCGGGAGCCGAGCCGGCAGCGAGAACCCCACGCGCGCCAAAGGGCAGCCCGTCCGCCCAGAGCACGCCAGCGGCCCACCGCGCCCCCGCCTCACTGGCCACTCTGACCCGGCCGGAACGCTCAACTCGGAGCCCCAGGACAGATCGCGCTGAAAAAGGGCAGGGCGCCGTCGGGGCTTCCCAGGTCCCCCAGAGAGGCGACTGCCAAGCCTGGCTCGGCCGCCCCCCGGACACCCCGCCTCCGCCGCTCGGCCCCCTCGGCCCGCCCTGGGTCCGCGGTGGCGGCAGCGGAGTGTCACGGCGCCATTGCTCTCCTTCCTTCGCTCTGCACCATGTCAGGAACGAGAAGCGCTCCTTCACCCGAAGGGGCAGGGGCCGCGGCCTGCAGCCGGGAGCCAAGAGCGCCAGGAGGGACCCGCGCGGGGGAGGGGGCGGGGGGCGGAGAGGAGGAGGGGAGGTGGC